TATGTAAGAACGATGTGACGACAACATAACGTCAAAATTATAGTACTACAGAATCAATTCCTGAAAAAAAAGTCATGAGCGATTTCGAACATAGTAAGCGCTATGTTTTACAGTTTAATATAATTTAACTGAGCGAGTTTTTGGAGGACCAAGTCAGTGTCTGGTCTGGTCCTACGGTCCGGAGTTCCATGCCAGAGAGATTTGTATTGATTGTTGTGAAATTGTAATATAATCGTTAAAATGGGATGCCATACTTAATTTATTTATGTACCTAATTTTCAGTTCAGAATTTGTTAAAAAAAAAGCAAGGTTCGTTCGACTCTAATACAGTACGAGGAAAACAATTGACATATTGTAACAAAAAAACATTAATTTGTATAATTAACGCAATACTAATCCAGTTCTGCAACATCTTCCTGTTGTTTAAACAAGACCTTCTTCGTAAATAGTTCTTATATTTTTTGTAAAACAAACAAAACTATAATGAATTAACTCCATACTGAATTAACTTACAATCCACACCATGTAGGTACTTAATTACCTCTAAATACTAAAAACAATATTTTACAAACCGTTGTTTCCTGTTATATCTGTCACGGTTGGCATAAAAACTAACTCACTTTCATACAAAAAATACACCACAAACACAATTTTTATCGACACAAAAGGACTTGTGAACCGTTCAGCGAATCGAAGTCAACTGACGAAAATCCATAACAATATTTAAATTTCGAAATGGGGTTGCTTAGGAATGTTGTGATTGGTTGATTGTGGGGAGAGATCGACCAATGAGGATGAGTAGGTGTGTCAAGGATTTTCTTTTATTATTGGTGCTTATACTACTTATATTGCGCAGTGGATTTATACGCAATGTAATTAATTTGTTATCAAAGGCGGTGGTGTTAAATGCCTCGTTAGTTGAGTGCTCGGAAGCGCGACTGTTGAACAAGAGATCTCGGATTTTCTTCGGTCTGAAATGATGTCCGTTGTATGGCAATAGGTTTACCTCTTATCAAAGAGTTTTAGACTGTAGCCGAATAATCAGTTAATGAAGTCACCACACACGTTGACCCGGAGGTTTAAGACAGCCGCTTCTCATACATGAGGGTGCAGATTTGGAACCTACCAACGGCAAGTACCAATGTGACTTTTTCCGAGTTATATGTACTTTCTATTATCTAGACACCACTGACAAACGGTGAAGGAAAACATATTGACTAAACCTGAGCTTATAATTTCTAATTATAAGTTTGAAATTGCCAACCCGCATTAAGTAAGCGTGGTGATTTATGCTTCAAACCTTCTCCGTGTGCGAAGAGGCTTTGCTCAGTAGTGGGCATCTATAGGCTGTTGATGATGATGATGATAGAGGTCACCACTAGATGCATAAATCTTTATCTCTTCTATTACAATTTAACTTCTACTTTTCAGTTATAATATGTATGAGTCTCATTCGATAAGGGGCGAGTCGTAAGTCTATTGCTATAGCCGCGAACTTTAGAGATACCGGGGTTCTGTTTCGAAGCAGGAGCTTACTCCTGCACCACACCGCCCCGTTCTTAAACGAGGTGGTGTTTAGTCAGTCTGCAAGTGTCTGACACTTCCTCTCGCCTCACCAAAGGCGGGAAAAGTAATTGGATGATTTTCCCCCCTTATAAAAAGGTCCAAAAGTAGGGGTAGCATTTTTATTTTGGGCGCTGACAGGAGGAAGAAATATAAATTAAAAATATATTTTTTAATATTTAAAATCACACTTCTTATATCCGAATGGGTAGGCAGAAGTGCACATTAACACGAAACTGCTAAAGAGTGGAATTCTTTGCCAGAGTCTGGGTGTCCTCAAGGCCCGAGTGAATAGGTTGCTTATGGGACGACGTGCTCCATCGTAGACCGCATCATCGCTTACTAACAGGCGAAATAAAAGTCAACGTCGGCCTATCAAATAAAAAAAATATATAACAAACAAAAACTCAAAAATAATAGTTTATTAGTACTGATAGGTTCACCCGCTGATAGGTTTGAAGTCGGCGCAATAAGTTCTATATAAAATTATTCATTAAAACCTTAATAGATACCTAATTTACAATTTTGTGGCCATTAAGTTATATCATTATGATATTATTACAATTTTCGAAAGTTCCTCTCGGTTTCTCTAGGATTTCATCATTAGATCCTGACCTCATGGAAATGGGACCATCTCGGGAGTATACCCTTTCAAACAAAATAATAATTTTGGAAATCGGTTCATAAACGGCGGAGTAATCAGCGAACAAACAAAAAAAAAACAATCAGTCGAACACCAGTACCTCCTCCTTTTCTTGAAGTCGGTAAAAAATGTCCTCTTCCTTTATCCTTACTAATATTATTAATCGGAAAGTGAGTTTTTTTGTTTGTTCCGCTTTCACGCCGTTACTACTAAACCGATTGCTTTGGTTTTTGGCAGACGTAAAGTTAGAAGTCTGGATTAAATAATAGGGTACTTTTTCCCGGAAAAATTTGATCTTCTCGAGGAAAAACTAAATCATTGGTATAGATGGCGCTGTGTGTATATGTCACATAGGCTACTTTTTATCCTTTTGTGACGCGAGCGAAGCCGCGGGTAAAAGCTAGTGTATAAATAATTGTCGCGGAGAACCTAACGGGTAACCGGGGCTCCGGCTCGACGTGCAGGAGAAGGAACGGAGTGGTTTTTAGTCAGTAAGAGTCCGACACTCCCTTCTGCCTCACCCAGGCGGGAGCAGTCATTCGATGATTCTCCCCTCTTAAAAAAAAAGTGTATAAATAATTAGACACTAGGTAATTAAACAAAAAAAAAATTAGCCCTAATTACTATATCAGGTGTAATCATAATCAATTGGTTGCTAAGCACAAATTTTGATTTATTATTTTGCAGTGGAAATAAATTGTTTATCTTACCAATCTAAATTATTGGGTATCAACTTATATGCGTAGATAGGAGGATCAGAAATTGTTGTAAAATAATTACTTTTATCTATGGGCACGATGCCGGTTAAGCGTTTTAAATTATTTTATTATTATTGGCCTGGATTATTGAAATGTCTACCTGTTAGAAAAAGCTAATATATACTGACACTGACTCTATTTTCTTTCTTTTCTTGTTTCGTTTTCTTCAGATTTTGTCTGAGAAAGAGGGACTTAGAACATGTATTGATTTTGAGACCTAGATATACCTAGCTCTTTCTTTTTGAAGGCGGAATAATCATCCAACGACTTCCCCGCGTTGGCTGTGGCGAGAGGCAGTGTCAGACTCTTACTGACTAAAAACCACTCCGTTCCTACTCCTGCTCTTCGAGCCGGAGCCCCAGCAACCCGTTAGGCCTTGTGCGGCTATATTTAGCTCTTAGATACAATGTTTCGGCTCCCTTTGTCCCCTTGTCCCTTTGTCCCCTGTCACCGTGATGAGTGTTATAAGATCTATATAAGCGACTTCCACGCTTTTAACAAAGACCTGGCAGCAACGAATTTTGGAAAACCTGAACCTTTTAGAATGCACTCTCCAGGCTAACTGCGTAAACATTTATGGCAAACCCTCATTTTTAAAGGAGGTTCAATGTCCAGCAATGTTAAAAATTACTGATTGCCTCGTTGGCCGGGTGGTCGCAAGTGTGATTGCCGGGCAAGGGGTCTCGGGTTTGATGCCCAGGTCAGGCTAAGTATTACTGACTTTTTTTTAATTCTCAGTAGTAGCACGGACTCACGGAGACGTATTCACCTTCTATTAGATGGGAGTCATAACATAGATAGTGAAAAGTGGGTGTTACGTTGTACAGTGGCATTGAGTGCCGTAATGTGCACCTCTGGCTTCTCCTTCGGGGATAAAAGGCAACTTATGTGTTAAAAATTATAGTTTAAACTGTCAAACACCAAGCGGTCACCGGTGACCGCAGCCTATTGTTCTATAATTGTGTCTATAATGACGGTACTCGACGAGTTAAAGGCTTCAAGCCTTTCAGAGGTCACTGTAAAACTAAAAAGAATTACGTTTTATTCAACCAAATTAATACAAGCTTTCCGGGTGCGGCTTCACTTGTGTGCTATTTAGAAGATTTATCTAGAGTCCACTTTGGAGCAAGCACCAGCTTCACATATAAACAGACGGACGGACAATTTTGGCGTTTCGAAAGTTTCTGATTAAGGTTTTACTTGAAATACTTAAATGATCTGACTTTGAATATGTCTATGCAATATGTCTGATGTCTATAGACCACATCATTGCTTACCACTAGGTATGCGAGATAGTGGTCAAACGTAAGCCCATCAAATATTTAAAAAAATGTCCCGGTTAGTCGAATATCGGAACAATGTTACTCCCTGGGAAGTTACCTCTTCAAAATAGTAGTGAAAATTTTCCAAATTACTGCAAATAATTTAGGATACTTTCAATTTATTGCCTTCGTTACAAATAATCTAATACTTCCTCTTTTTAGTAGGCACCTATCATAGAATAGTATCCGAGACTTGAAGGAGCCTTGATAAGTCATTAACAGATAATATTTTCACGATCTAATGAAGTGTTAATTCAATGTTAACTCAGAGATACAAACTGCTAATTTTTGTTCTGTACTTATTTCTTTATCTGCATAAAGATAGATCTAGGCCCCCATTTTTTAAGCCCTAAGCCCCCGCATTTTTATTACTATTGTACCAACATCTTGACTAAAATCTCAAAGAGTAAGAAGGAAAGAGTACTTCTAATACCCAATACTTACTAACTAAAGCAACATACACATAAATCTTAGATTCCTGTGTATATTTACGTTCTCAAGTCCAGTTCATTGCACTCTATCAAGAAATTGCTACCTTCCAACAAAGATTATGAATCCGCCAAAACAATTGACACACAAACTGACAACGTGAATGCCTCGTGTTTGACAAAAAAAAACATTATCACTAGCCGCTCTGCCTATTTATAATCTGTATTATTCGATCATTTGAATGCGCGCTCACGATAAACCATAAACACGTTTAGTATCGTATCAGTCATTGGCGGGAAACGACGCCGGCCATTTTTATTTTTTACTCTGTTATTTTTCGATATATTTCGCGGGAAAATATTTAATAAACATTTTGTAATTTTAGTGTACAAACGTTTGGATTTTTAGTGATTTTATTGTTTTTGTTTTGTAATAAAGTTTTTTGACTATTTGGTTTCTTTGATAATAAAAGTGTATCAAAATATTTTAATTGGTGCGTGTTATTGTGTCTTAGTGTGCGATTTTATTTGAGGAAAAGCGGTGAGTCTTTTGTTTATTACTCGTTCAATTTAAACAGTTGTTTGAAATTATAAATTGTTGAATTGTTTGAGAAACGAAAATTCTTTTCTTTTCATAACAATTAAATTGGTTTATTATACCCATCTTTTAGCGTTGTTTTCATCGTGTGTTCTATCTTTTTATAGTTTTCCGGTTTTGTTTTGCATATTCATTTGATTTAGTTTGAATATTTACATGAGTGGTTCTTTAATAATTGTTTGTATATAGACTTATTGTTAATATGTATCATATTTACTATTAGTTATCTAATGAGTTGCGTACTTAACTAATGACGGACTACTATCGTTTTGTTCTTAAATGGCGTGATTAGAGTATTATCATATTGTCTTTTAAGCATTTAAATATTTATGCGAATATGGCATTTTTCTATACCTACTTATGTTGAAGAAATCCTAGTATGTTTGTAATAAGAAGCCACCGAAACTACATAGTACATTTAAAAACAGAAATGTTTAATTGTACGTAAATCATATTATCCGGGATAATAGACTTGAGACACCGTGCAAGGACGTGCCCTTGCCTGTCAGGAAAAAAATGAACTGATATGATAATCCGAATTAATTCAACACCAATAATCTAAACTTCTATAGTTAGGTTCAAAAATTACGAAAATGTAACTTGTGCTTAACTGGCTCTAATGAAACGATAGTGTTGGCTTGAAATGTCGACTCATAAACTCTCAGACATAACTTGAATGGTTGATCTTGCACCTCTTTGAAAGTAATGCTGCCTGCGCTAACGGCTATAGAAATAACATTTTAAAAGTTTAAGATTTATTAGATACTTTGTTTTTTTTTAAAACGGCGATGCCCCACACTGCGATTTATTTTCTCCTGTGTCGTGGATGCATTTACAAACATACAAGTTCACATACACAATATGACACCCAGACTAGGAACTACAATCTGTGGATCACATAAAGAGTTGTTCTGTGCGGGAATCGAGCCCGTGGCACGTTGCACGGTAGCCAGTTATCCAGCCACCCCAGCAACCGTGCAATGCAAAGTTCCTTAGTCCGTTTGTCGGTTCTGAGGATACCCGCGGGAAGAGAAGAGGTCATGACAAATATATTCCAGTTTACTTTCACTACATGGCATAATCATCTTGAGAAAATTTCCGAACACAAATGCTATATCAGCATTTCATGAATCTACGCATTTCGAGGTTAACTGTGGCGTCGACACAGTAACTATGAACCTTGATTATTGCTTAAAAGCATTGTTCTAATGCTGTCGCTTGCTAAACTCCATAATTATCTTGCTAATCATAATAATCTGTTTTGGAGGTCACGCCGCGAGATGGTAAATCTTTATTTTTTCCCCAACAATTACAATGTAACATCGACTTTTCACCATGTAGTTATGGTATATTAGTGATCCTTTTAATAAGCGTGGTTCCGACTCAAAGCAGGAGTAGTCTGACTCACTCTCTCTCGTCTCACCCAAGGCTGGAGGAGCCATTGAATGATTTTTCCACGTTTTCATAATAACTATCGAGAGCCATACTAAATTAACTGTCAAACACCAAGCGGTCACCGGTGACCGCAACCTATTGTTCTATAATCTATATATATAAAATTCAAAGGTGATTGACTGACTGACTGATTGACTGACTGACATAGTGATCTATCAACGCACAGCCTAAACCGCTGGACAACAGATTGGGCTAAAATTTGGCATACAGATAGATGTTATGACGTAAGCATCCGCTTTGAAAGGATTTTGATAATTTCCACCAAGGGGGTAAAATAGGGGATGAACGTTTGTGTGAGGCTTTGTCAGTTTTACACCGATCGGGTTGAAATTCGGCGTGCAGATGGATATTATGACGTAAACGTCCCTTTAGAAAGGTTTTTGAACATTCTCACCCCAAAGTATGATACTTTGCCAGTTTTAAATTGATCGGGCTGAGACTTTGCATGCATAAAGTTACTATGACATAGGTATCTCTTTAGAAAGGATTTTGATAAATTCCACCCCTAAGGGGATAAAATAGGGAATGAGAGTTTGTATAAATCTTCTTAGCCGTTGAATTTAGAATCATTGAATCTTTTTGAATTACATTCGGTAAAACGATGATTTGGGACCTGGGTAACGTATGATAGTTTTTTCACAGATGTCTCACGAGAACGGGAACTATGCGTCAATGCCCCAGGACTCTCTAACTCTTAACCACTGAACTTATTCTAGAGAGATTCGGTACAACAATAGTCGATAGAATAGTTTTTATTACTCAAACCTTACGTGATCGGGCACTGTACTGGTAAGATCCCTGCGGGATTATTTATTTATTGAAACTACGATAAATCATTTCAAAATAGGTAAATCTTACTTGGGCACTGAATTGATTCTGGTTAATTCTGTCAGAAGTCATTAATCTACGCGGACGAAGTCGCGGGCAACAGCTATCTACACATATAATAAATCGTAGAAAAGTCAAAACTGTACATTGAATATTTTTTAAAAGAATATTTGAAGCGTGATCTCTAATCGATACCGAAGCCAATAATGTGGTTTTTAGAATTTTTGTCTGTTTGTCTGTATGTATGGCCGTGATGATCTCAAAAAGTACTGCACTACTATTTCAAATTTTGCATGAATATTACTAACAAGTCTGGTAAACATATAGGCTACATATTATCACGCTATCATCTACGGGACTGAATCAATTCTGACGACATCCATTACCGTAGAATATCCCTTGATAAAAACTAATTCAAAAGCCTAAATTCTGCCAGAAGTCATTATTCTACGCGGACGAAGTCGCGGGCAACAGCTAGTTGTGTCTATAATGACGGTACTCGACGAGTTAACTAAAAATCGCGGGTTACTCACGTGAATATACTGAGAAAAGCTCTACTAGTTTGGACTTATGACGAAGAGCCCCATTGTGGTTGATATTTCCACCTTCAAAAAAGTCTATAGCTATACACAGAGAACAATACTAGATGCCGTGGCGCGAAAACGTAAAAGGTTACCGGGGCTCCGGCTCGAAGTGCATGAGTAGGAACGGGGTGGTTTTTAGTCAGTAAGAGTTTGACACTCCCTCTCGCCTCATCCGGGCGGGAGAAGCAATTGAACAATTTTCCCCCCTTAAAAAAATGACGCTGTGCTACTTGTGACACATATTTCTAAGCTTAAAAATAATTATTACTAGCTGTACTAGCTTTTTCCAGCGGCGTTGCCAGCGTTCCTGTGGAATTAAAAGTTGCCTATGTGTTATTCCAGACCACAATCTACCCCTGTTCCAAATTTCATCTCGATCCGTTCAGCCGTTTTGACGTCAAAGAGTAACAAACACACACACATACAGACACACACACATACACATACATTCTCACGAACTTTCGCATTTATAATATTAGTAGGATTAATTCTTTCAATGGCCCAAGGAATGAACTGCCTCGTTGGCCGAGCTCGCAAGTGCGACTGCCGAGCAAAGGGTCTCGGGTTCGATTCCCGGGTCGGACTAAATATTACTGGGTTCATTAAAAAATTCTCAGTATACTACTGAGAATTGTTTACTAGTTAATATACCCGGTATATGGCAATCGGCTCACCCCCTATTACATGAATAGTGAGAGTGAAATGAGACTTATAACATAAGTAGTGAAAATTCCGTGTTACATTGTACAGTGACATGAAGTGTCATAATGTGCACCTCTGCCTACTCCTTCGGGGACAAAAGGCGTGATGTTATGTGTTTTGTTATGATGCAAGGATTTAAGCCAGAAATGAGTTAATAATCGCCCTTATCAACAAGCTAGACCAATAGACAGGAAAATAACAGTTACAAGTTTAACATAACAACATATTGTTCATTAATATGTACTTAAACTATGTTCCTAATTGCTTATTACTATGGCATAAATAAAGTACTGATAACAGATAGTCAAGTTCAATAATACTTTATTGAAACTATATTCTTATAACTAGCTACTTCCGCGCGGTTTCACACGCTCTGCTCAGCTCTTATTGGTTGTAGCGTGATGTTTTAACCTATAGCGATCCTCGATAAAATGTGCTATCTAACACAAAAAGAATTATTCAAATCAGACTTGTAGTTACGGAGATTAGCGTGTTCAAAAAAACAAACAAAAAAACAAATCCTTCCGATTTATATAATAGTATATAAGAGTATAAGAGTATAAGATAATATTATAAATGATCAACTGAACTTAACAAGTCACTGGTTCCCAATAATAATCTTTCATAGTCATATAGGTACTCGTGACGTCAGCGCCTTTTTTCCGCTTTTCATGAATATGAGTCCCAGTGGAACTTGAAACTAGTCGAGCCCATTTCGAATAGTTCACGCGAGTTGGCCGTACCTACATTTCAATTACATTAGCACGTCTCAGGATATTACCACAGAATATTACACAAAAACTGGCTACTTTACTGGACTAGAGTATTGAAGCGAACACCCTTTGATCAGGGCTGTCTTAGACTACGCTGGGGCCTTTGGGCCTTTTCATTTGGGGCCCTTTTTATGGTATAAGCCGGTAAACGAGTACACGGATCACCTGATGGTAACCAATCGGCGTCGCCCATGGACATTTGGAACAACAGAGGCGTTACAAATGCATTACCGGCCTTTTGGGATTAGGAATTAGAGGATTGTTGGAGATTCAGGGATTGGGGAAAGGGAGGAGGGAGTAATTGGGCCCTTTTGGAACGCTTCCATTTTTAACGAAAAAACGGAGTAAATTCTAGTGAGGGGGGGGGCAACCCCAAACTAGAATTTTCTCCTTTATCCTGGATGCATTTACAAACGTACAAGTTCACATACATATGACACCTACACTCGAAACAACAATTTGTGAATCACACAAAGATCAGCTTTGTACAGGAATCAAAGACCCGTATGATATAGACGATACTGTCCTTGATACGCAGTCAGTCTAACAAGTACTAGAACAAGACAAGACAATCGGCGAAGCGTCACCGATTCTTGGTAGA